GACCATTTCTTAAATAGTCTTGTAAACATTTTAGTGAGCATGGAAACAAAACTAGCACACAACACCCATGATTTCACGTCTCACTGTCATTTATAATGAGGCAAAGTAAAGAAAATATAGTTGAAAGTTGTCTTAAAGAAGAGTTCTGGAGGTATAATGGCGTAGATCTGCACTCTTCTGTACAGTAGCCACTGGCCTCGTCAAAGTAAAACTCACTTCCTCCGTCCCACGAGGCACATTTCAAATGTTCAACAGCCACAGGTGGGAAGTGGCTACCGTACCGAACAGTGCAAACAGAGAGCATTTGAGTCATTGTATAAAGTTTTGTTGGGTAGTCAGTGCTGGGCTAGAGCTGTCTTACACTAGATCGATGTCTTTATACTTAGAGTTCACTCGAGCTCTAAATCAGCTCTCTTTCAAACTCTATCTAGCTCTGGGTAAGTCTATGTACACCTGCTTTTTCCAACACGATAGCCACTGGTCACCACTGCCTCCTAAGCACTGGACATCTGGGTAGTCTGAGTTGAAATGCTCCATAGGTGTGAAATACTCATTGAATTTCAAAGCCTTTGTAAAGAATGTAAAATATGGAATTAATAATTTTTATACTGATCATATGTTGAAATATCATTTGGGATCTATTGGGTTAAATAAAATATATGATTGAAATTAATTTCAAATGTTCCTTTTTTCCCTTACTTGACATTGCCCAAAGAACGTTTTATGTTACCTATGTGATTTGCCATATATTTCCACTGGCCAGCCCTGCTCTGGACTTCCTTGCCACACTCTGTGACTCCAGAGCGCTCTCCTTTTCTCTGTATCTGCACTGCCCCATACAGTAGCCATAAGCCACATGTAGATATTTCAACTTAAATTAATTAAAATCAAACAAAATTTAAAATTCAGTTCCTCGGTCTCATTAGCCACATTTCAGATGCTCCGTAGACACATGTGATTAGTGGCTACTAAATCTCAGAGCACAGATGTAGAATGTTTCCATTGTTGCAGAAAATTGTATTGGACAGCGCTGAGAGTTGGTACCTAGCTAGGCAAGAGCCGCAGAGATGGTTCGTGACTGCCTGAAGTCTGGAGAATGATTCCATGGTGCTTAACTCTGTGGCACATCCTCCTGCCCTCTCCCAGGTGTCTGTCCCTTCCTGCCTGGGTTAAACTCGTTTATGCACACCTTATCTTTTCTTATCTCCTCCTTCCAGGTCTGTGGCATGCTTATCTCTCCCCGAACACACCTTCCTCCCGCCTCCTACATGCACGCGGTATCTAACAAGGTGTTTTGTACAATGTAGGTACTCAGTAAATGTTTGTTAACCAGTTGAGTGGCAATTCCTAGCAAGTGATTGGAAATATGTGACTGAAGCTAGAGAGAGCTCTATATGGCTGGTAGTGGGGGTCAGGGGCGGGGGGAAGAAAGAGAAGCCACCCTTCCCAAAGAAGAAGAGAAGTTGGCAAAGAGCCAGCAAAGAGGAAATCAGAGGGACAGTGGTGGTCTGAAGTCTTACACGTGTCACCAAAACCCCTCTGCCCACCCCACAAGCCACGTGCAGGCAGTGACAAGAGTTACTGCAAGGGAATTCACAGGCTTAGGCAAGAGCTATATAAAAAGCACAAAAGAAATTCGAAATATTATTATGTGATAAATAAACATGCAAGACCCATGAATGAGAAATTGAAATGGCATGAAAATTAAGAGTCTGGCGAGGAGAAAAAAAATGAAAAAAAAAATGCTCTGTCCCTGGGCCAGCTGGTGTGAGTTACATTTTATGAGCGGCATGTGAATTCCAGCGCCCTTGTTGAATTAGCAGCAGAATCGCACATTAGTTTTAGGGCTCCCTCTCGAATAGGAACATCATAACGTTTTTTAATTGGAGCTGATAAAAACCTAGCATTACTTGTAGGTTCCTGAGAGAAGTGAGTTGTGAAATTGGGTTTTCATTAAACCTAATGATGGAAAATTAAGTATAGTGCGTCTGGTGAAATGGGGTGTGATAAAAGGCATCACTTCTGCATTATCGGAGGTTAATAAGGGAATAGGTGAGCTAAGATACATTGAAAAGGGGAGTCCAACTAGTTGAATTAATAAACCTTGAAAGTCCCTTGGTTCTGAGTCTTCACAGCATCATTAGCACTGGCATTGACATTATTACAAATGTTACAGCAATACAAGTTGTTAAATTTCAAAAGCACTTATTTTCCATTCCAGTGTTGGTTTTGCTGACACCAAGTTTACAGTCTGTCTAGCAATGTGTTTAGGGGAAATATCCATATTGATAGCTACTTGGTTTTGGAAACATTGAGCACCTCACAAAAAAATTGCCAGGTGCCATCCCTAGGAAGCCTGCCTTTGCTGGGCAGATGGTCTCCCATGCTGCCCATGCCCCAGGTCCTTTGGGAAACTGTGGGTCTCTGAAGACATCAGTCCCCACACATGATGGTGATTTATAGGGAGAAACACTCGCAGGGCTCCAGGCAGTAAGTCTGGCCCATCCTGTCCTGGGAGTCATCTAGAGATTCCCCTTTCCTCTCCTGTCCCAGCCCCGCCAAGACATTGTGGGAAGAAGAGTCACTGGAAAGATGCCCCATATCCATGACAGCTGGGATAACTACAGGAAAGAGCAGGGGTCTTTAAAGAGAGGGATTCTTCTTAATCCCCTTCCACACCTTCACGCTGGCTTCCAGAGCCTTGCACACTCACAGCTTTCTGGATCTGCCTCGACTTATCCCTTGCTGCATTCCCCCTCGTCCCCCACCCCCATGACATTTCCACCCATAGCTGCGACTTCATGCCAAACTCCTTGCTCTTACCCAAGCGCACCTTCACCTCTCAGTCTCGGTTCTTCCGATTCAGATGGTTCTTGTCTGTTTTCCCCACTAGACCACCAAGCCTTAAGAGTGGAATCTGTATTTCTCTCTGCATTGCCACTGCCTACCAGAGTCCCTGGCACAGAGTAGGTTATCCTAAGTCTAACCCATGATCATGGGGGGATGGAGAAGGGAGGCAAACCCCACATTTGCTAGGTGCTAAATTCACACAATGCTAGTGAAGATGCATCTGCCTGTTACCTAAAATCTCAGGAGTAAGCAGTATTTTTCTTATGTGCAGTCGTGAAGGCTTTGTTAACATTTTGCCTAGGCCTTTCTCCCCTGCGCATAAATTTATCGTCGAGATCTTTCTGTTACCAATCCAGGGCTGATGGGTTTGTCTCAAATGGCCAGGCTCTGGCTTGGTGATGTTTACCTAATGCATCGAATCAGGAGGTTTTAGAGCCCACACTGTACATGCAATGGCCCTGCCCACTAATTAGGTGTGACCCAATCCATGTCTCAAGTTCAGACCAGTCAGATTAGCAGCCCCTCTTCCCTTGGAGGAGCTATAGGTGGGGGCAGGTGGAAAAATAGAAAATGAGGACTGCATGCCCCACTCCATCAACAGACATAGCTGAAATCATTAAGGTGACGAACTCTCCCTGTTTACCCACAAATGGGGGGCTTCCCAGGTTGCTGAACTTTCAGTGCTAAACCCAAAAAAGTGTCAGGCAAACTGGGACAAGCTGGTCACCTGGAAAGCATGCAGGCCAGATGTTCCCTGCCACTGTTCGTTCCTGCTTGCCGATGCTGTCACAGAGGAGTAGAGTGTGCGCTCACACATGGAGTCTGTGTCTGATGGATTACCGCAACAAGACAGGCAAATATGCTGAAGGGAATGTGGACTTTGCAATGACACGTTGCAGAAAATCAGGACTATATGCTAAGCCTCCCAGGGAATGCGTGTGGCATGGGCATGGTGGGTGTCTGCATTGGCGCAGTGTCTGACAACATCTGGGTGAGAAGCATCAACTGCCATGTCTGACAGTGCTCGTCTTGTGCGTGCCACAAACAGGACGGTCCAGGGCGCGCTGTCCATGTCTTTGGAAGGAGGTTGGGGGAACCAAGCCTAGATGGTTGTGGGGAAGATAAACTGGCCCTGGAGGACTGACAATGGATGCCTGGCAGGGAGGTGGTACGGCAACACAGTGGTTTCACTGGTGCAAGGGGAGCAGGGGAATTCAAACCTAATCTGAGCAGGTATCTGTTTCCAGGGTGGCCAAACTAACACAAGGCAGTTAAAGCAACTCGTTGGGTATAAAGGTTCTTATTGCGGGAGATATGGATTTTATATCAAGGAGAGATTTTTGTGGAGTAGATGAGGCGTAGGATCCGGGCCTGGGGGACGTAGCTGGCAGGACTGAAGGAAGAGGCTCAGGCTTTGCTACCTGCCAGGCGGGTTCAAAGACGCTACTGGATCAACAGTATCTAGTGGTGGGGAAAGTGTACGATAGAAGAAGGTGGTCACTGTTGCTGAGCCCATACCTACAAAGGGCACCTGGGAGAGTCGGGCTTCCTGCAGGCTGCTGGGGGTCCCACACGGGCTCCACTTCCTCCCAGGGTACAACCCGAAGGAAACGAATGAGCAGAGAAACCGGGTCACAGGGATGCAGGCAAAGGGACAAAACGCAGACATGTGTCTCTGCCCTCCAGACTCCTGAGGCTCTCGTTACCTGCAGACAGCATGGAAGACTGTTTCCAGCCCCCTACCTCCTACACAGGAAGGCACTCCCAGTATCCAGCCTGTCTGGCTTCTCGCTGGTCCTGGGATGGCCAGGATTGGCCCAGACAGCCCTGCCAGGCCTGGAGGAAGGACAGGCAGGCAGGAGATGACAACCAACCTGGAACTTTGCCTTTACCCTACCAAGATGCCCCCTTGAAACCGAAGTGAATCGAGGGTTATTGTGTTCACTGGTTTGTTGTTTTAATATTTAAATCTACCAACACGGCCGTGCCAGGGAAGAAGCATGTCTCTCGTCTTTCTGTGGTTTCCTGATGAGTTGCTGAGTCCCAAGCGAGTTCCTTCTGCCCTGCTCAGGCCAAGCTGGGGGAGGCAGGGAGGACACAGGACGAAGCTCCCACCGGTGACAGTCTCCTCTACCTCCTTCTCTTTGAAGCAGATGGCAGCCGTGGGGAGCTGTCCCAGCCCACCCTCACCATCCAGACCCACCCCTACCGGACCTGCGACCCCGTGGAGCTGAGCTACCCCCGGGACCAGTTCCAGCCCGCCATCCGGGTGGCGGACCTGCTGCAGCACATCACCCAGATGAAGAGAGGCCAGGGCTACGGGTTCAAGGAGGAATACGAGGTAAGAGACCCGCCTGCGGGAAACCTCCTGATGGGCTCAGAGCTGTATGTGGGTGCGGCAGCCTTGCTGCTAAACATGTGGCCCCCACCGGCACTGTCGGCGTCACCTGGAAATGCGGCATCCAGGCCCCATCCCGCCCTGCTGAATCAGAACCTGCATGTCAGCCAGAACCTTAGGCGATTTGCATACACATTACATTTGAGAAGCACCACATTAAAAGATTCTAATACCCCCTCTGCGCCCCCCCCGTCCTTTCCCAACCCTCCCCCATTTCATAACCCAGTTATCTCTGAAACTTCTACACCGTGGAATCACACCCTCCTTCAATATGAAGATAGAATGGCTCAAGTCCCTGTCCCATGTGCTATAGAAAAGCCAGCAAATCACCCCTGCCAATGGTCCCTGGCATGCCTACTGGCTCCCAGTCCCGCCTGGCCCCACATTCATGCTTCTATGTTATTCTCACCCCCACAAAGCAAGGCCTCATCTCCGGTGACGGCTGCCCCCTCTCTCTCTGAAACTTCTCCCTGCTGCGTTGGGCGTCTCTTTCCTTCCTCCCCAAAGCATCTCCAACACAAAAGATTTGCAGGTAGTGGCTGTTACTGAGGGTTGGGGAATAACAGAGAAGGATTGTAGCAAAGTACAGGAAGCACCTCAATAGGACCCTGTGATTCTGGTAAGTTCCTTAACCATCCACATTGCTGCTAAGGCCTTCTATGGTTCTGGTGGCTGACAGGTCTCTATCCAATCCCTCCCCAAAGATTTTTCTTAGTGTCCCCAAAACTTCCCCCCCACCACCCCTCAGCATCCTGGAAAAGAACTCCACACTCCCCTTACTGTACTACGCAGAACACTTTAGCTTTCTTTGTCTGGCTCCTTTTGTTTCAAACCACGCCCATAGGGCCTCACCTTTTACAAAGAAAAAGCAAAATAAAATAGAAGGAAAATGCACAAAGTTGTTTTCCTGAGCCAAAGAGCAGCTCACTCCCCAAGAGTGATTCTGCAGCTCTCCTTAGGCAGGTGGGACCCAGCTGCAGCCGGCTTCGAAAACAAGCACTTCCTTCTCCACGTTCCCTGTCCCTCTCGCCCTCTCTGCCTTCCTTCCCAAAATATCTTTCGAGCATCTTCTGTGTGCCACGCTCTGAGTTATATGCACTCGATTTTTTTGTTGTTTGTTCTTTTTTTTCCTTCTCATGCAGCGTGTGCCCCAGATATGCTCGATTCATTTTCACTCTGTGCAAACTCATTGGCTCAGACTCCACACATTTGGAATTCTTGGTAATGCAGACTAAGTTTATCCCTCAGACTATATTCTGAGAAAGAGCTTACAAGGCAATATTTCAGAAGTCGTGTGAGGTCGTCAAATTGTGCCAAACTGGAGGTCCGGACAGCTAGATTCCGATGCGGTGAACGGTGTGGTCTTAGCGTATCGTTTCACTATAAGAGTTTTAAAATTTCTTCTTAGTTGAGTGAAGAGTTTGGAGAAGGTGATTTCAAAGGATCTGCCTGATCCTAAAACTTTATAAGAGTATAAAACATGGTGGCAAGGAGCATGTTTGACATATTTATGAGAACAGAAGTGTGTATGTCAATGGATGTAATTACCAGCCAGGGAGAACTAGCAGTTAATTTCAAAAATGGTCTAAGTAAATAGCATTTTTCATAGACTCAGTCTACGAATTTTAGAAGAATATGGAAATTAGAGTTGAAGAAAAAGATCTCATCACCTCCCATCCCTGGGTTAATTTCCTGGGGGGGCTGAATGGTTCCAGCCCCGGGGGACACAGTGCATGTGAGTGGGCTATGCACATGTATACAGACATGTTTGTTGAGCAAATGTCAGGTAGGGTATGTTGTTTGTAAAGGCATATTCAATATCATGATGATTTAATAAGTCATTAGTCATAAGTATTTGCTTAAACATTTCAAATAGCATTAAGGGAGATAATGTGGCTTATCAGAAAGGAGGACAAGCAGGCACAGGCTGGGAAACACATGTTCTAACAATTTGCGATCTAAAACCCAAAGACAGAAACACAAATGCATTCAACTACTTTGGTGCATTTCCTCCCAGAGCCAGACAGATATTTCTTTTAAGTGTGTTCATCCCTGTGTGGTGAATTGCTTTTCAAAAGTTATTCTTTGTACTTTTTTGCATCCTCCAAACTTTCTGGCATGGAAATGAATTGCTTTTAAAATGAGAAAGCAAACAATACTTTTTGTTGCCGTCGTTTGAACCTCAACCAGAAATATCTCTAACTAGGCCAGCCTTGCCCTCAATTAGTTCAAATTATATTAATCAGCAAGTTGCAAAGCCTAGCTTCTAGTTAGCGTCATTCTCTGATTAACTGAGGGTTAATTGGAAACGTTCCTTAATGAAAGTCTTTCCACAGTGTGCTAGTCCACTGTCCTAGAGTATAGCTCAATATTGCTTTGGTTGTCAAGGCCCCTGTGATAGCTAGAATTTCCAACCTGAAAATGAGACTCACAGGTCTGTTTGAAGACCTCCTGTCCTGCCGTAGATGCATGACTCCTGCACCTCCAGTCCTACTCTCCGTCCATCCTGCTCCATCCTGTTTGCTGCTTGTCACTCTTCCGTCCTGCTCAGTTTTTTTCATACAAATAAGTGAGTTTGACAGTTGACATGTAAGGAGCCACCCAGCTAGAGCAAGCTGTGTCTTCTAAAATTCAATCCAGTCATATAATCCCTTAAAATCTGTTCAATAAATATTTACTAAGTATTTACTATTGCCAGGGACTATTCTAGGTGTTTGGGATATAACAGTGAACAAAACAAAGATTCATGCCCTCATGGAGCTTGTCTTCTAGCAGGGGAAATAGGAAATAAGCATAGGCTTAAAAATAAGCAAATTAATATAATGCAAGTGAAAAATACTGTTTGCTGTTTTATAAACAACCCCACATCTCAACAACTTGAAATGGCCAATTTCTTGCACTTGTTGATGTTGTGGGTCAGGCATTTGTTCAGGCACAACAGGGACAATTTGTCTTCCTGCATGGTGTCCAGAGCTTTGACTGGGAAAGCTACAAGGCTGGGGGCTGAAATCATCTGAAAATGCCTTCACTCCTGTGTCTAGTGATTGATGAAGGCTGTCAGCTTGGGTCTCAGCTGGAATTGTCCACTGAAACACCTACACTTGGCCTCTGCATGTGGCCTAGGCATCTTAACAGCATGGTAGCCTTTGGATAATTAGACTTTTTACATGGTAGCTCAGAGCTCCAAAAGTGAGCCTCCTAGCTAACAAGGTGAAAAAAGTGCATCACCTTTGCAACCTAGACTTGAAGGTTGGACTGCACCATTCCTGCCATGTTCTATTAGTTGTAAGCAAGTAGAATCTTCCCATATTCTAGGGGAGGGAAATTAGATTCCATCTCTTGATGAGGAGGAGAGGCAGTTGCCAGATTCTAGAAGAGCATGCAGAATAAGAAATATTGGAAAATACAATATTTGGATATACAAGCTGCCCTAAGTGTGATAGAAAAAGGAAGAGTAGAAGAAGAAAGGGAGATGTATTCTAGGGACATGAAATGGGGGAGGTTCCAATATTAAGCAGGATAAAAGGGTAGCCCTTAGTTAGAAGAGAAATTTGAATGTAGACATGGTGGAAGCTCTCTGGAGGAAGAGTTCTAGATGAAGGGAGTAATATAGCTGGCATGTGCAAGCAGAAGCAAGGCGGCCAGGGTGGCAGAAGTAGGGTGAGCAAGGGGTGAGAGTACTAGGAGACTGGATTGGAGAAATAAAGAGGGACCTGACCCTGTGCTGCATTACAAGCCATTGTGAGAACTTTGGCTTTTACTCTGAAATGGAAAGCCACTGCAGAGTTTTGAGAAGACAAGTGCTAAATAATGATCTGACTTTATTTTGAAAGACTCATTCCAGCTACTGTGTTGAGAGTGGGCCAAAGGGAGGTAAGGGTGGACCAGTTAAGCGGCCACTGCAGTAACCTAGGGGACAGACAATGGGGACTTGGTGTGGAGAGGACGTCGCAAGAACTAGCTGGATTCTGAGTGTATTTCAAAGATAAAGCCAAGAGGATTTCCTAACACATGGCATGTGAGAGAAAGAGAGGAACTGGGGGTGACTCCAAGGCTGTTACCTGAGCCATTGGGAGGATGGAGTTGCCACCCACGGAGCTGAGAAGCCTCAGGTAGAGCAGAATCAGCAACTGGAAGTTCAACTTTGAGTGTCTGTTACACATCTTGGAGGCTTGAGATGGGAAGTAGGAAGTTGGAATTTGGGAAAGAAGCACGGACTAAAGAGAAAGCTTTGGGGATTGTATGCATCTAGATCAAAGCCAAAATACAGGGTGAGGTCACCAAGCAAATGAGTGTAGACGGAGACGAGGATCGAGGACTGAGCCTTTCCGGATTTCAACTTTAAGATATGTGAGTATTTTCCTAGGCATTTCCTAGGCTCTAGGGACTGAGGAGACGAGATAGAGCCCTGGCTTCTGGGAGACTCAGACCCTATTCTTAGAGACAGGCATAGAAACTGATCATTTCAACATCTTGGCAAAACGCCACCACAGAGGTACCCCCCAGAGCTCTGGGAATCCTTGCATATGGAGTGCATTCACCCAGCCTACAGGTAGACAGCCAGTGGCTTTCTGGAAGACATAAAGCTTACACCAATGCTCAGGAAATAGGAAAACCCAAATGAAAGAAGGGTGTTCCAGATAGAGGGGCTGGAACAAGCTATGGCAGGGGAGTGCACATAGCAGGTTGAGCTAAGAGAATCGCAAGCAGTTTGATACATAAATTATGGGAGGGGGCACAGAGAGATGGGGGCTGAAATTGCCAGCAGGAGCCTCGTAGCAGAAGAGGAGGCAAGTATTTGTCAGGTTAAGGAGTTTGGATTTTAATGCAAAGGCCATGGGAGCCATCGAAAAGGAGCAGGGTTTTTTAAAGAAGATTTGCATTTCAGATCTGGGAGAGATCAGAGCAGCGAGGCAGCCAGGACAGTAATTCGAGTAAAATAT